GAATGGATTATATTCTAATTCCTCTGAAGTTTCCATATTTTTTTGAGAAACTGATCCAGTGGAAAGTGATGGGTTATATTCTACAAATTTTGACGATCCCCAACAGATTTTTTGGGAAGCTGATCCTATACAAACCAGACATTCATGTACAAAATTAAAATCAGTCATTTGTAACAAATTCAAAATCTGACTCTTATTCTTATAATACAAATATCCAAAATCTTTTGTCCATTCTTGAATTGGAGCAATAATATTTACAGGATGAAACAAGGAATCAGTCCAATCCATTCTTCCGTTTGTTTTCTTCAATAATTCTCTAGTATAAAAATCAAGTTTAAAGCCTGGCATTCTTGTTTCGAAATTGGAAATTTCCTCTTCATCAACAGGCTCTTCATTCAGTGCTCTCAGAATAAGATCTTCATCATTCAATTCCTTGAATATAGCCAAAAAGTCTCTCCTCTCCACAGATAGACAAGCCATCCTCAAATCAAGACAAACCAACTCGATCACCATTCGATGTTTTTCCTCTAAATAACTAATGATCAATTCTAAAGTATCGGGAGACATTAATTCTTTCCATCGGGTTTCAATTGATGAAGGATTTATATGATAGATACATGATGTTGATGATGATTCATTGTCCTCCTGTTTTTCTGATTCCTCGACTTCTCGTTCCGACAACATGATGATAAAAATCTTCTCCCAACAAATATTTTTTTTGTGTTTAATTTTGGAAAGTTTACAATGTTTAAGAGCAGTGCCAAGTTCTTTTCATGAAATAGCACGTATTGAAATAAATTGGTGTGAATAATGTTAAGTTTGCAAAAGAATATGAAAGTTTAAAAACTAATGAGACACCGTAGTAGAGCAAGTGAATGTGCTACGAAACCAAGATCAGGTTGAACCACATTGCAAATGATTAATTACAAAAAATAGAGTTCTATAATTTCAGCAGTGTTACTTGGCAGCATTATCCAAAAACTGACCGATGACTAATTTCCTTATTTAAACGTTCTAATATGGACTGATAACGCCAGCCCAGTAAAAAAAATGGCACCACACAAATCTCTGCTCACAACAATGGTCGCCTTAATAGTAGTTACCTTAATACTCCTCGCCCCATCACTCTATGCCAATGACTTGATTAACGCCAAGCTCGATACTACATATAATGTTAATTATCTTAATACAGAGGCTGAACCTTCTGGTACTTATCTTTCATCTGAATACCAATATGATAATGCGTTTGGTCCGGTCACTGTGAATGATAATTTCCAAAACGTTCAAGTATTCTTTGAACAACGCTTCAATAATACTGCGTTCGATTTTACACTTTCATTATTATCTGGAAAAGTTCTTCAACCAACAGCAACATTCGGAAAGTTGAAACTCTCAATGAAGTTGTACAATAATCCTGTGGAGAAGGTTGTGTTGAGATTTAATGCACCTTTGGGTATCTGGAATGTTGACCTGTTGAGACGTATGCAAGCTTACTTTTATGATCCTACCACTTATACATCTGAATTAACTGTTCTTGGTGATCAATTTGGTGTCATTAGGAGATATATTAACATGTTTGAAGTTGAATTGAATTTGCCTTATATTTTCCAAGCAATTCAAAAGACTGAATTTCAGCTTATTCTCTATACTGAAGACAGTCCTTTGGATCCAACTCCATTAGTTGATTATAGATGGATTGAAGTACCATATGCTGCATCATATGCTATGAAATTAGAATCAAATCCAAATTTCAATAGATACTTTACAATTGGATTCCCATCTATTACTCCTATTAATTATATGTTGTATCAACCTCCAAGATTCCTTCTTACTGAAGCTTATAATGT